TCTGCGGAGATGTCAGGAGCCCACTCGGCCTGCTGTTCAGTCAGAAGATCCCTGGTTGCCAAGTCAGCGGCGCGGATGGCCCATCCGGTTTTGCAAGGGTGGGCTTCCGGGATACGGCTCCGGGCGATGCCGAGCTTGTCGGCGATGTGGGTCCGGACGGCGAAACTTCGAGACATGTCGGCGGTATGGCCGGGGCAGAGGCGGGCGAAGACCCGGAAGTCGTCTGTCGGTGGAGACAGCGGTTTGCGTTGCCCCTGACGACGCGGTGGCAACTGTTGTTGCCATTGATTCTGCGGAGCTGCGGTGACAGGGTCTGCGGTGGTCCCCGCAGGAGCTGAGGCTAGGCGTCTGGCGCCGACGGCAGATGCGTAGGAGGGCTTCGTCGGAGGGAGGTTGCTGTGCGTGCCGGCGAGTACATCAGTCCAGTACTGCAGGAAGCTGCTGGAAAACTTCTGGGCGAATTGAAGTGCGGGTCCAGAAGTGAACTGTTTCGCTGTGTCGTCGAATGAGGAGCAGAATGCCCTGAACACGGCTAGTTTGGCGCTATAGACCTCGTTCTGCGCGACAACGAGCTTGTCAGCGGCATTGGCGATCGAGACCGGGCCGTCGCCAGACTGCGGGTCGGGTTCGCTAGAGTCGAAATGGACAGCGCGCTGAGCTCCTTCTGTGGCTCCAGCGTAGGAGACCGCGTGAAGCGGCGATGACGGCGTGTATGCCGTCCGTAGCGCAGAGCGCGAGACGCCAATCTCGCCCTCACGGGTGGCGGGGCTGTTGCGCAGAAGTGCGACACGCGCTCCTCTGGCTAAGCCGGAAGGGGTCCGGGGACCCAGATCGAAGGGATTATCATCATGAGGCGGGCTGGACGAGGCCGATGCCATCGCCGCCGCCGCCGCCGGCTGCGCAGAGCGCAGGATGGGCGGATTACGGTGTACTTGTTAAGGAGTAAGGTGTGTATTGGGCTACTTTCTTAACAGTTGCATGCCAAGAAAGTAAAAATGCAGGGAAGGATGGGGCAAGCTACCGGGTTCGTGGTAGATGCGAATCTAGGGTATGTGAGACTCTTGCGCCTCAGGAAATGTCAGTTAATGATCATGGGTATCGTAGGTATATCATGACATGCGCTCATGTCATCGGCGGTGGCCCATCTCGGATTAGTTGCCTCTTTGGAAGTGGTGAAAGCATGGAAGTCAGCATTGTGTTTTCAGATCCCATTCACGACTTTGCCATCCTACATTACGACCCAGTCACCATCAAATTCGCCAAAGTCGATGGCTTGCAACTACGGCCAGACCTGGCGCGAGGTTTCGACCCCCACAGGCCACTTCTTGTTATCTCGCTGACGACAGGATGAAACTCGCAGTCCACGAGGAAATTGAAATAGTCGGCAATGAAAGTGCTCTAGGCTTGAGTATACACAGCGGCGTAATCAGTCGGCTACATATCCATCCGCCTCACGGCCATTACAACTCTCCTTACTGCTAAGTCAAAGCGGGAGCCGGCGCAGGCAGCTCTGGGGGTCCGGTTTTCTTGAAAGATGGGTCAGTAGTTGCCCTGTTTTGTGGACGCTACTCCGGCGGGATAAACGTCTGCTTGCTTCTCGACAGGGCGTTGCGCGCTTTATGTTGCATTCAGCAAAGCAAGCCTATTACCCGCGGGGATATTCGATGTCGCTTCACGCCCAAGCCATTCCACATCTGTCGCAGCAAGCATGGGCTGAGCGATACGCGGGAAGCTGAACGACGCAATTCAGCGCCGGAGGCCACCAGCATGCTTATTGCCGCATCTGTGTTACCGGATGGAGAGTCAAGCGGCAAAATTGTGCTGGGTGACGTGCTGATCAAGATCAACGGCGAACCTGTGACGGACTTTATCGTCCTTGACCGAATACTGGACACGAACGTCGGCAGCACCATCATGTTGTTGCTCCAGAGGCAAGGGAGCGACCTCGAAGTCCCAATCCTGGTGGGTGATCTTTACCGTCTGATACCTGATCGATTCGTGTCAGTCTGTGGCTCCAACTTCCACAATATCCCTTGCATAACTGCTATGACATATGGCGTAGCTAGAGGCATTTTTGTGTGCGATCCGATGATCTTTCTCGGCTTCGGCGATAGCTCCGACTGTTACGTCATTGTCGCGATCCATCATAGGAAGGTGTCCCATCTGGACGATTTTGTCACCCAGATGAAGAGACTTCCCCATGGAACAACTATCGCAGTTACTTTCATTAAACTGAGCAATTCACCCGAGGTCAAGACGTCACTCGTGAAGATCGACAGGTTCTGGATTCCTGATATGAGCCTGTGGGTCCAGAATCGAGAGAAGGGTACATGGGATCGAACCGCGCTTGAAGCACCTCCGCTTCCCAAGCCTCCCTTGCGACAGTCAGCATGGCCTGCTGAAGCTGAGTATAAGACGGGCCCCACGGAGAGGCGCATATACAGAAGCCTCGTGCGCGTGACGCCCAGCACGCCGGGGTTTGCCGTTGACTCTTGCCAAGTTGCTCAAGTTGGAGCCATGGGGTTAGTGATCGATGCCAAGTCAGGCCTTGTCATCGTTTCACGAGCTGCCGTTCCACACGGCTTCTGCCTCGTTAGGGTTACTGTTGCCGACTCAATTGAGACGGACGGCAAAGTCGTTTTCTTACACCCGTTTCACAACTACGCCATCGTCAAGTACGATGCGTCTCTAGTCGATGCGCCAGTCCACAGTGCCACTCTTGGGACCGACCCGTTGCACGAGGGCCAGGATATGAATTTCTGGGTTTTCAAAGGCGACCAGCTCAGTACTTACCGTAAATGGGTCGAGAGAGTTGGACTGCAGGACGTAGTTCGCACAGACACGTCTCTGCCGCAATACCGGCCGGTGAATACCGAAGCAATCGTCGAAAACACTACTATGGCCTCACACACCAGTGGCATCATTACTGACGAGTTTGGTACCGTCATGGCTTTATGTCTGCTTCACCTCCGAAAATTCCACGATGAAATCATTCGCTCCTGCTGGGGCGTGGCCACGGCAACGATATTTCGCATAGCACGAAGTATATGCATTGGTGAGCCACCGCAGGTGTGGCTCTTTCCAGCGGAGCTCGAAACCATGACCATGGCCGAAGCAAGGAAATGGGGTGTCCCGCAAGAATGGATCACTAAGTTCACACGCAAAAAAGCACCCCGACACGCGGCATTCAAGGTGGCGCGGCCCATGGCCACGTGCCCAACCGCCACGGCCCCAGCCCTACTACAAGGCGACATTTTCCTCAGTTTGAACGGAAGAATCTGCAGGGCCGTTTCGGACTTCGATGTCACGAACTCTAGCGCACTCGATGCCCTCATCATTCGGCAAAGGAAGATCATGCGGCTGGAAGTTCGTCCGGAGGATGGAAATCACGCGGAGACGGACCATGTCTTCCTCTTTTGCGGTGCAGTCCTTCAGCTGTCTCTTATACACATCTAGATGTGTATAAGAGACAGCACGTAAACGGCACGGCTACTCCAAGCTTGGCCCTGTCTCTTATACACATCTAGATGTGTATAAGAGACAGCGGCAGAACAGTGCGGCCTACAGGCTGGCTATTTTATCACGCACGTAAACGGCACGGCTACTCCAAGCTTGGCCTCATTCATCGATACGACACGCGAGTGCGTAAATGGTAAAGGTACGACTTGCAAGTTGTTGACGATGGACCCCCGCTCACCTTAGCAGATATGCTCCTCGAAATTGCTACCTTGAATGGCTCGGCAGGGACATTGATCATGAAGAGAGACGACCGCTTCCACCCTGCCAGAGAATGGGTAAGGGACCCCATGGAAGCCAGCTGGACCTGTGTGAAGCATGGAGGGACATGAAAACATGGGCGTTGCAGTCGCCGGGTGCGCTCAATAGATTCAAGAAACAATTGCAATTCATTTACCCCTGGACGAACCCTGTTCTTTACATAGATTGTTAGCCAGTTCTTGTCCTTTGTCGGAGGCCGCACCCATGGTCCATCGACTGCTGTTCGGTGCTGGTGTTCGGGCCAAACCCACACGCCCCCTCCTCCCAGCCGTCAACTTTCGAATCTGATGAGGCGACGGCTCGTTCTCCTGCCACATGCAACGGCCGATAGAGTGTAACCTGGTTGTTACTATGACCCGATGCGGTGAAATAGTGCACTTTTCGGTCTGATCTAGACGGGGGGTAAGTCGTTGCCGGCAATGCAACTGCTCGCTTAGAAGCACTGTAGCAAAACCCGGGGCTGAGACTTGCCGTCCGCGCCCTTCCTCGGGCTGCCGAGCTCGGGTACATATTTAGGATGCATTGCGGCCCTGTCGTCAACGCGCAGGATGCATGATTCTACGCCCCAACTTGTATCTGAGCTCACGACCTTCACCGCCCGTTACGATGCAGCGAGTCATAACACAGCCACAAATCATTGAAGCAAGCGTCACTGCGCCAGTCGTCATCTGCTTTTTGCTGGCCTATTGTTTTGTCTTCAAACTCGAGCACAGCCCATGCCAGTGGCGTCTCGCTTGGATAGGAGTGGCCTCTCTTCTACTTAGCGTCGCCGTTCTGATTGTTTTGTTTTTTGGCCTAACCGACAACGCAAAATTTGCCACCTTAGCCGGATGCAAAGGAGGAGTTGCAATGGCTATGGCCATTGTCGAGGTACGATCTTGCCCTGAGTGCCATGTGCCAGGCCTAATGATTCAGTTCTCCTCGTTTGCGCCTCCGATGATATCACACCATCCGCGGGTAGCAAAAGGTCTTTACTGCATCTGGACTCTTGCATTGCTTCTTTTTGTGGCATTCGCGTGTTGGTGGCTGGTTAAAGATGGGACGGAGGCACTGTGGGCAGCACCGCTGCTGTCACACGCTGTCTTTCTCTGCCTTTCGATGTACTTGTGGCGTAAGCCTCAAGAAAGCATGAACGGCCCCCGACGGGATAAGGTTCTACTCCCGTTGATCATCCTAGCCGGTTTAGTCTGCACATGCTCGCTTGCGTTGCTTATCGGTAGTATCCATGGCTGGCCCGGATTTCAGTTTGGATTGCAGAGTATCTTATGGTTATGCCTAATGGCTTATATTATGGCACGAAGGGTACTGAAAATGTTCTCAGTTCGAAAGTCACGGGCAACAGTTGAGGCCGGAACGTCTCTTGACAGTCTTGTACCACAGACTGCTCGGTCACGACAGTCTCAGACCAGAGAGGAAGGGGTGCAGCGATAAGGCGGAAGGACGGAAGCAAACTCAAGCCCGAGCGTTTGCTTACGTATGCCTGTCGCTTGTTGGCTACCATAGCGCAGGCTGGGCCTTAGAGCATCGAATAGTACGCCCTGCCTGATGTAGGCATTGACGCGAGATTTGCTGCCGCAGTTCAAAGTAGTTGACGAGTCATTTGGGAAATTATGCGGGAAATTATTTTCTTTCGATGGAGAACCGTTCGTGGCCACAATACTTAAGCCATGTGCGTATATGGCTCTGGCATGCCAGAACAATGTGCCCTGCAGAGCTACCGCCCTCACCGTTCGTTGCAAGTCTGTCCGTCGTCATTCATAATGATGCCAGACAGAAAAGATTGACTTGGGCCCTCATCACGAACGCATCTCGCACCATCGACGATGAAGAACGTCCGGAACGGCCAGATACGCCGAGGTTACCGAAAAAAGCCCCAGCGGAAGGCATGGTGAGTGCGGCGCTCACTGGCTGAATTTCGAAGTAACAACGCTCAGTGCCCTCTGCGTCAAACGCAAGGTAAAATGCTGGGGCGGCTATCCATGCGAGAATTGCAGCAGAGGCGTTCGTCCCTGTAAGCTAGCCGGCTTTAAGTGTCTATCATGGGGAATTGGCCATCGAAGTTGACAGGTCACACAACACGCAAGGTTCCGATTGCGACGACCTCAAGGAAACACAGAGCGCCCCGGAACCTTTGCAGACTGCAAGACGCAGCAGAGAAACATCAAACGATCTGGGTCGTGCTTGGACTTGGTGAGTCAGGATCGCACTGCGTAGGCTATGGACTGACTTTATCCAGCATTCAATGCCAGACTCTTGGAACAAAATGCCTGGGTGGTGACCCTTGCGACGGCTGCAGGAAAGGAGACACCATCTGTGACATCAAGAACGCGAACGACTCCAGCCCGGCGCTAGATGAGATCATCGTGGCGGTCGGTCTGCCGAGTCCGGCCCTTGTCACCCCGACCGCCCCCGCCGACGATGCAAACCTCCCTGTCAGGATCGTGCAGCATTTGACAAGTTCTCGGGAGGCCGAACGGAACCCGTCACCATCGGCCATCCAGTCCGATGGCGGACGGCAAGACCAAATGTCTCAGGCCTTCCACAGCAGCAATGCGGGGACGGGGAGTACACTGCCTGGTACTAGTCCAGTTCTAACGCGAGATTCTTGCCTCTCATTTGATAACGGTTGTTTTGGCTCTTGGACGACAGCAGAGGGCCGGTACAATTACTCCTGCCTGGCTGCCATGTACAGCCAGTTTGTTCTCCCCAAGAATCAAGTCATATCACATGAAAAGCTACAGGCTATGATGGCGGCCCACGCGGCCGGCAAAGGCATTAGCCTGGAGCTTACAAGCATTTACGGTATCGGCAAACTGCTGTGGCATCTACGTCTGCACCAGTCGAATAGCGCAGCGCTGTGGCCGATACAGAGCATTCCTGGTCTTTACGAACAGGAGACGGTCAAGTCCAATTTGGACCCTAACGATCATTTGTCCAAGGCACGTTGCTACTTATTACGGTCTGTATACTTCCTCCTACTGGGTGGACTTACGGAGTCGATGACGGACTGTGCCGTAGCAGGCTTGGCTTTGTCGCGGTCATTCGACTGGGACGTGGAGGAGCGCCAAAGACTGGTAAAAAGTTATGCAATGCTGTACATGTGGGTATCAGATTCAATGATTAAAGGTCGAGCTAAAACCGCCAGGCTGCTCGAATGCGATTCATGGAGTATACCCTACTTTACATCCATGGATCTCACGGAGATCGTTCCAGTCCACCCGCGGTATGGCACAACTGTGGGCAACAGAGAGCCACAAACTACGTCGTACTTGGCCATCGCCTATCAGTTCTGGAATTCTCCATCTCGCATCGGCCGGAGCTTCATCTCCATCGCGTCGCAGATCCAAGACTGGACAGAGGCTTGGAAAGAACAATGCAAGTTATGGGATCATGCGGCTTTTCTGCGCGAGGAAGAAAAGGCAGAACCGTACCTGGCTGCAGCAGTCCTTTGGCTCCCGCTCCTAACAATCGCTGCTAAACCTAGCCTCGATGGGTTCCAAGGGTTGTTGGAAACTGCGGGCAGGGCGCTGCTGCAAACAATAGAATATCTTCAAAGCCTCCGGCTCGAAGATCGCGTGTGGCATATTCAGCAGTCAGTATAAGTCACTCCTTGCACGAAGTGATATCTAACCTTTCATAGAGAATGCCGCCTCCTGCATGGTGTCGTCCGACTGGGGTATAGACTCCAGCGCACGGGGCAGCAGATCATGTGGCCAACCGAAGTCTTGGTCCGCTCCACAGAGGAATTTCTCCTCTCTAGGCACCCTTCAACCGACGGCCAAGTGCAGCTTGAACAGCTCCGGATACTTACATCGACAACCTCGCACCCGAATCCGATGGAGTTCCGCGGTACGTTCTCGGGGGTGCCGTGGTAGAAAGTGGGGACGTGGTGTTTCCACTACAAATTTCTTCAAGCTGTCGCACATCATCGTTGGCCCGCAAGGATTTAGAGTAGACAAGACTGGGATGGATCATTGGTACGCCTAACGCTTAAGCGTCTCTATCGTTGTTGTAACGTGAAGTACGTGTGTGATGCATTCCGCCCTGAACTGCGCTGAGGATACGTTTGCGTTTGATTGCAGCATGTTTGCGCTTCTATGAACAGGGGCGGCACGTTCCTGTTGGCTACCATGGAGCGCGACCGAGCTAGTTGAGCTGACGAGATGTAAAAGGGTACAAGCCCCGGGGTGTTCTCCGTCCCCCAACCTTCCGGTCATTCGCGGACAATCAAGAGAGCATCAGAAGTCTCCCCCGGGTACATCGCATTGCAGGGATCGAGTGTGAGGCAGACTGAGCCAGCTTTGGCGGTTGGTGGCTTAAAGAAACGCCAGGCACCAGCGTAGCATCGTCTTGACTCCTGCATGTGGCCAACCCAACTGGCTCCCGTACTACGGTTCTGCGCACAACGCCTGGAATGGACCTTCATGTCATTACGCGCTCCATCCCACGCTATCTAAAAGGACACAGCCCAATTCCCAACCTTCTGCGGCCGCCGTTACTGTTATCCTGGCACAGCGGTGATCATACTGAATCATGTCCCACACAGATTCCGCAGGGTCCAAGATATAATAAGCCGGTCGGGCGAGTGTTCAACGAGGGAGGGCGCCAGTAAGTTTTCGGTGAAAGACGATGGCAAACTCGGGCCAGAGACAAGCACACGTGCTACCGCAGCACAGTGCCATGCTGCCACGGTATAGTATTCTGAATCGTTGTTTCTGCCAGAATTTCACCGGCGCGGTGGTTGGTGGCATGCCGTTCGGTGTCTCAACTAACAGCATGTAGATCCAGCCGCAGAAGGGGCGGGGGCATCGGCTGCGGCGCACAGAGACTGATGCGAGCTGCTGAGGATGCACGTCGTACCAGGTCCTGGTGAGCCCGCGCTCGCGCACAATTGGCTTACGCTCCTTGCTAACGAATTCCAGCGGGGCTTGCCGCCAGCGCAAGCAAAAATGCGCAGGGGGTCCCCCATGCGAGCGATGCATAAGACGCGGCATCCCTTGTGACTTGGCGCACTTGGGCAATTCCTGTCCAGGGCCTCGGGCACTAGTTACTGAAGGACAGCCCGTCTCGCACGGCGGATGCTCGATCCGCGGCATCCGGAGCTCACCACCGGTCGGGGAGAGGACAGCAAATCACTCAACAAGCCCGATTACACATCCACCAAAAAACTCCGACGGTTATAAAGGCTCATACAGAGACTCATCAGCTCATCACTTGGGTCCCGGGTCGCGTATAGTGATCGGGGAACTCAAACATTTGACGATGAAGGTCAAGATACAAGACACGCGTCACTTGCTGTTGGCCCGGAAGCAACAGGGACCTCCGGCCGAGCACCTGGAAGCGGAGATCAAGCGCCTCAACCCGCGGCACAGGACCCTAGCCCGGAAACAGCAACTGACCGCGATGATCTGGTCGATGTGTTCATCCGCTTTGTGTTGCCTAAGTATCCGATCGTGGAGCTCTGGGCACTGCAGTCTATGAAGCTGGCAGCCTCAGAGAGCGCAGAGCTTACGTCAATTGCTGGCATTGGCAAGTTGCTATCATACATTGACGTGGCACATCCAGACGGGAACGAGACGGGAATTACTCCTGGACTCGCCGAGCAGCAAACAGCGTTCCACATGCCCGAGGCGAACCCTTGGTCAAGGGTCCGCTGCTTGTTACTGAGATCGGTGTATTTCCTGTTTCTCGGTGATACCCCCGAGTCGAAGCTCTCTTGCGATAAAGCAGGTGCGATGCTCCGCACACTCGAAACACCGCAGTCATCAGAGCACCAAAGGTTGAAAAGGATTTTCGTCAAGATATCCTTGTAAGTGTACGTCAAGACAACCCAAGGGCTTGGCTAAATCGAGCAGGGAGCTATATTGCAGCCCAACCGTGGTCGTGGGCCCTCGGCCGACGAAGAGAGCGACGATCATTTATGGTTATTCATCAGCGGTCCTCCATGAGGTTTTGGACTGCCAGGGAGTACCGTCCTACATTGAAGACTGCTATCGCTTTTGGAATTTGTGGTATCGCCGAGGGTTTAGTGCAGATGCAGACATACGGCGCCAAGCATGGGACGAGACAATTGGAGTGGAAAGAAAACTACTTGATGCCGCTGCACGTCAAGACGAAGAAGCACAAACCGACACGTATGTGGCTGCAGCTGTGCTCTTTCTGCCATTTAGACCCGAAGCTCAGGCCATGCTGTCAGACACCGAAGCCCAGCCGAAAGAGGTCCTTGAGACTTCCAGGACTCAATTGGAGACGATTGGCCGCTGGTTGAGCCTCGTCATCGGACATATCCAGGGTCGGTCGGTCACACAACGTGCAGCGTATTTTCATATGTAAGTACTAGCCCGTTGCCCTTTGTTGGTGCAAAAGCTTATCCGTTCAGTGAGTGTTGGTTCATTCGCCTTTACGCGTGTCTCCAGAGTTGCGGGGAAAAGGTTGCCAATGCGCGGTATCTAGCGTTTTCCGTTGACAAAGCTGCCATCTTCATGAAAGAGAGGCTGCCATCAGTGCCGGGTGACCTGCCGTTCATGGCAGTTATGCAATTGAAAAAAAGGCTGTCATGACATAGAGGACAAGGTTGAAGAAGCTTTTGTCAGAATCCCAGGCGGTTGGTCAGGACATGGCGGAGCAGCGCAGCCGCACTTGGGTCGAGTCAATTTCCTTGGTAATGCACCCTAGCATTGTACAATCATTGCCCTGGATTTTACCAGGGTCCGCAGCCTTACTGCATACAGCAAGGTTGCCGAGTTTAAAACCGTCACCCACCACATAAAGCGACCGCCTGCCTTCTCTTCCATGCAACAGCAGCACGGGTGACTACAACATGACCACCGCCTGGGTGCCTAATGAGGCTATGGCCGCCTGGACATCGGTCGTGGATTGCCTTGGCGACGAGCTTGGACGACGACAGAACAAAGAAGGACATGCCAAGGAAAGCCTTGGCGTCACTGCAGAGAACCAAGTGAGTTCCTTGAGCTCTCGACTGCTTGATCAATCACCGTCAGCACAAAGAGCGCTAGGGCTAATCCATGAGAAGGCGAAGAACGTCCACGGTGATGTTTGGGCGTGGACGGTATTGAGTGAGCTGAATGTATATGCCCGCAGAGTTGATCAACTGTTGCGTCAGTCTGAGAGGTCAATTCTTCGGCACCAAGAAAGGACTGCGATGCCCGTCGCCGGTTCTGCGACGTCCCTGTCAGACTTGAAAATCGAAGTTGACAGTTGTTGTGATGATAGAGCGGAATCGAATCTGCTGCCTTTGGCTTTTTGGAGCACCACGCGAGACAGGCTGGTGACGTTCGGCAACCTACAGAGAAATCTCTCAAGCGGTCCGAATGCGGATCCAAGAGGACTCAGGCAGCCGGTGGGTCCCTTTGCTGTCGTCTCGGAGCTCTGTGGAGACGCACTTGAAGCCTCCATGCGAACGGGCACATGCCACGAAGAGATTGCGGCCCTGCAACTCGCCTGGGACAAGGCTTGTATCGATGTGCGGGCGGGTGGACGGGAAGGATATATGGATGAAGCTAACTCGGAACAAGTGGTGCAGAAGCTGGTGGAGATGAAAGACCTGCACGACGCGGGCACCATGAGGCTGGCAAACAGACTTCTTCAAGTGGGAGACGTCAACTATACCGTTGGTAAAATGCTCGGTGTAGGGACATTTGGCGTGGTCTACCAATGCAAGTCCATACCCGACGACAAAGTGGTAGCCATCAAGTTTGTGAGTCATCTAGTCGCTCTTGAAACTGACAGTGGATACCAACCTTTGCTGCCATAGCAGCGGAGAAGCGAAGTTCCGTTGCACGATGAGTACCGTGCCTACAAGTCCCTGGCCATATGCTGTATGTGCCGCCGCCCAGCGTACGGCTCGCAGTGCTGACGTGTGGCAAAGGGGCGACACCAAACGTCCACGCCTTCGAGAAAAGGATCTTCCTGCACAGCGCCTTGGTTGTCGACTGTCTGGGGCCGTCGCTCCATGTACTTTTCGAGAAAGGCGGACGGGTCTTTTCCGCAAGAACGCTCGTGGTTTTGTTCATTCACTTGGTACGACCCACAGCTATCTCTCATGATTTGGCTAATAGTTCCACAGCTCCATTTGATACAGCTGCTACATGCCCACGGCTACACTCACCAGGATCTCAAACCAGGGAATATTCTCAGCGACGGCCGGAACAACGCGATCGTATCCAGGTTTTATCTCATAGACCTTGCTTCCGCAACGCTTTATCGAGACCCAAAGACAGGGTCGCACATCCAACACACGACTGCCCATGGTATCGTCGGCACACGGCGGTACATGAGTATCGATGCACACAGAGGGAACGCACAGTCGCGTCGAAGTGACATGCAGTCCCTGCTTTACATTTTCATATATCTTGCCAAGGGGGGATTGCCGTGGCAGGGCATACAAGGCAGCGAGCGCGAACGGTTGACTTGTGCCGCAAAGGAGCAGGTACAAGCAGAGGAGCTGGTCCGCGGTATAGACGAACAGTTGGCAGGGGCACTTTTGGCCTTCGCACAACATGCTTTTGCACTCCGGTTCGACGAACGGCCAGATTATGAGGGCCTGAGGCAGCGTTTCGGGGTCGCTCTCGAGATGATGACGGACACGGACGAGCGGTGCCTTTGGCCGGACGGGCTACTCACGCCGGAAGGATGTCTACGATGATGCGGAAGACAAAAAAAAAGAAATTTCATTGTGCCAGTATAAACTGCTTGCCAGTCTCTGCATAGTACAAAATACGCGCAGATGGCTACGCTTGGCTTAACTTGGCTCGACGGGTGTTCAATCGCTCCATTCCCCTGTGTTTTCATGCGGTTACGTGGCGTCTCACCTCAGGCTGGCAAAGGCTAGCCGACAATGCCCTGATGCATTGCAAGGCACGACGCTCAATGATGATTCGGACAAAGCCCAGATCCTCTGCAGTTGCCACACTGCGTCTCGCGTGCCTTGCTTCATGAGGGACGATCAGCAAGCACGCCAGACCGGGCGCCAACGCAGCAAACTATCACACGCCGCTATGCAAGTGACGATATGATTCGCATTAGCGATGCACCTGGCTTGAGAGTTACGCATGACGGGTTTGCACCGTGTCTCAGGCGAACGCACTGCATCAGTCTCATTGATGCCCAAGAATCCCGGGATAGGTTAAAAGGGCGCCCAGACCTTTGTCCAGGGCTTTCACCGCCTCTTCAACAATGAAGGATGAGTCACCACGATGCAGTTAGTCGATGAACAAGTGCCATTGCTGGGTCGCCAACGGCTTGCGCGCAAAAGCTGTTGGTTCTTGCTGCCTTACGGTCTGCTGCTGGCTGCCTGCTTCCTTTGCAATTTTATACCACTTATTTCTCCGACAATCCTTGAGAACCTGTCGGTACCCCCTGTCACGGCTCAGTTCCTTCTCTTCGTGGTACCGGACTTTGTACAGGACCTTCTCTGGTTACCTCTGGGTCCTGTGCTTGACCACGCAGCCTTTGAGGTCTTGCACAATGCAGGATCTCACGAGCGCAAACATATGCGAAAAGCAGATGCCTTGAACTCAACTTTGAAAGCCCTCCTCCTAAAAGTCACCTCAAACATCATTACCATCTACGTGGCATTGACTCGTCAAGGTGTGACCGCCTGGCTCTCGACATGCATAGCGGCCGCTTTCTCGGTATTCATGTGCGGCGCAAAACTCTTACAGGGCCTTGAGAGTGAGTCGCATTTGTCGTCTCTCAAGAGTACAAGGAATGACGATGTGTAATACACACCCGCCGAGGCACACGCACGTTCATGCTGACGAGTACAGGGAGAGACAAAGCGATGCCGTGCTCCAGACGCAGCAACGATACGTAGCCGACTCAAAGCTGCGATCGCGCGTACTGTCCGTGTGGAAGCTATTCTTGCTCTGCTTCGTCGCTGCATTTGCCCACGTTATGTTATCTACTGATGGCCAAAGCGCGCCGATGATTGTCCGTCTAGGCCACCAGATTCATTCGACTGACACTACCTACGACAAAGTCGTGGGGGGAATTCCGAAAGCGTGGAGAATCATCTTTGCTATGCGAAAGTCTGCCGGCATATTCTGCTACCTTCAGGTGGCCTGTGAGGACGTCTGGGGTGTGAGGTCCGCCCCTTGGAGCCATCTTCCCGAGAATAAAAAGGCTCTGGCCTTCGGAACTTGGTTGTGGGTAAACTTTGGGACCCTAGTACACAGGCTATCGTCACGCGCGCCTGATCCAGGACAGAATGGTGAAGCTAAGGGGGACAAGGCATCAGAGAAGGGTTTTCAATGATGAAAAGGTTCAGGTCACTGTAGTCGAGTCAAGCACTACGCAATGGCGGACACAGTTCTATTGTCGTAATGTTTCCGGCAGTGGTATCCCTCCTGTCCCACTCGGGTACAGCCCAGCCTCGTCGTGTTGTAGTAAGACATCTCCACACGAAAGTCCTATACTGGGTGCAGCGATGCGCGCCTGATTCAAACAGACAAGGATGGCAAGGAGGAATACTCTATGTGGCCCCTTCCCCGGGGGGGGGGGGGGGGGGGATTGAGAGAAGAGAGGTGGTCGCAATTTTGGACTTAGATTTGCCCCGTATCAAAGGCTTCTTCGTGCTCACTCGGCAGACAACGCGCTTGTTCCTTAGCGCTTGTGAGTTCCAAGGAGTTGCACGGAGCTAGTAAGCCTTGTATGCATCTCCAGTGGATACGAGAAAATTCCCGTCCCTGCACTCACTTCGAAGGAGTGTCTGGGCACCAGCGTGTGCCTATCCCTAGGCAGCCGACTTGCAGGGCGAACCGGTGAAGAGTCCTGCCGCTCCGTTCATTCAAGCCAGGGCTATCGTTCTCCGCCGTGCGGCTGGCTCTGCGTCAATCAAGGCCAGGGAGCTGCTAAGCAGGGCTCATAGTAACGAGGCTCCGGTCTATAAATTCGCAACGGCTGGCGACTGCCCACGGCTCCTTCAATAACCGGACATTTAGGCTGTACCATCGAAATACACGTTTCTGCCGCAACGATGTCAATATCTCCGCAGCGCCTGGAATTCTTTGCCAAGGTATTCGGTATCGCGCCGCCGTGTACGCGATGGAAACCTGGTCACGACTGGCTTGGCCAAGCACATACTATCGTCTTGAATGCCGAAGCCGAGGAGGGCTTGATTGGAAATGTGGAAAAGCCATCGGAAGAGGGCCTCGGCTGGAGAGCTCATGTCCTTGAGCAGACGCAAGGCGCCAGGATCGGTGAACCCTCTTCGACAAAGCCTATACCCCTGCGTCTACCTGAATTATCCCCTGTCAGGAACGATGAGGAGACGATCAAAGTCCTGCTCAAATGCCTACAGGCAATTCCCGGGTCAATCATCCCCAACTACGAGCTCGACCGAATTGATCACGGGCCGGGAGACATACTCTTGATGGGGCTTCTAACGGCTGTATCACTTTGTCGACATTTCAACATCGAGCTACCGTGTGCCAAAGAGCACGCGGTGGACAGCATGTTGCGTGCCTTGCTTGATCACTACAGAAAAGTCGAGGTCGCCCGCTCGCCACCTGCTCCGAGTCCCGCACGGCTGCACTTCGCCCCTCCACCAGCACCCGTTCAGTCGGCAAGAACCTCGGCTGGTGGCATTGGATATGGTGCCGTTCGAGGTGCTAACGTGAAAGAACCGATCCCGCGTGCTGTTCCCCGTCCGCCGCAGGCCCCAGGACGGACCACACCCCCAAACCCCATACCTCCGCCAGGAAAGGAATCGGCTCATCCCCCGATGCCCGAGTATAGCGAGCCCAACCCGGACGACCAATGGGTGTCTGCCCATCGTTCTGACCTACAGCAAGTTAAGTGACTCTATCAAGACTCTCATTGTTCACTCGCTCACAATGCCATCAATAGCTTCTCCGCTTGAAGGCCGCTGCAAGGCTGTGTGACGATTGACTCTATCAAGAGGGGCTCGAGGATTTGATGATTGCTGAAAGACCTGGTCGTTGTAACTTAGGGCAGCAGTAAAGCAGCAGAGGTGGTTTGACGGGTGGTAGCTGCTCAGAGACTTTGACTAGAAAGTGATACTGTTTCTGGCTACCAGCCAATGCCACCAGACAATCGTGCCGAATGGACCGTCCACGTTGCTTTGAATGCATGAGCTTGGCGATGCTGGCAACTTGTCGCCGGAGCACTATCCCATACTGCAATCATGGACGCGCCTGTCCCTCACCCCGTCGTCTACCCCAGCCGGAATGAGGACACGGCGATGGCGACGACGGGGACCACTATCGCGGTGACGGTGACCCCAGTGACTGTTCCAGTGCTAGCGAGAGACGTTCCTGGAAGATGGCACTTTCTACGTGTTCACGTAGGCTGTAACTAGCCACTGCAACATTGAATGGGGACCACGAGGCGAGCTGTACCGGCTCGTATCGCAGCCCTGCGCTACCTGTCACATACAGGACACGTCCATTGCCCATGGTCCATCATAAGTTCTCCCCATCTCTGCCCATGAGGTGCAAGCCAAGGCCCAACAACTTCGTCCTGCGCTGGCTCTGATTAGGAGTACGTGTTGGCCGCTTAGCCACATGAAGCAGTGCCGATAGCTCACCCACCTACATGATATTTGTAGGAGGTCGGCCAAGCCCACTCCTTTACTCACCCCAAAGTACCGCCTAGTCTACTGCACTGTACCAGCCTCAGGCTTTTCTGGTTTGCCAGTCTTTTTTAGGATGGTCAACGGCGACTCAGGTAGTAGGGCGTGCAATACTACTCCAAGGGCGTCGTTCAACCGGGTGGCTTACGGTCTTATGCTAAAAGTGGTTCGCTCATGTGATGGTCTCTTGAGGTGGTCCGAGTCTAGCCGCAGCAATAGTGCCGCCTGCAGAGCGACCCGATGTCGACTTTGACTGCATTGTAGACATTAGGGGTCGGGTCTTATTGCTCTACCCGGACGGTGGACCGCCGCTGGAAACGCTCAGTTTGCTCAGCCGAACATGCGGTGAACCCTCAGCGGAAGAATTTACGACCTAAGCCACTGCTACATCAGTATACACTGAGAGGGCACAAAGAAGCTGAGAATCGATCAGGGTCAGAAGGCTGTTTCTCTCAACGGTGCACCATTGTGCATGGGCGCTCTATAGTCAAGTGAACTTTAATTGCACCATCTCTGACGCCGAATGAGCTGAGAGGGAAAACCAGTCCCAAGTGAGGCAATCAGCCTTTGATGACACAAAGGACAGTGAGGCCAGTGGGGTTCGCCACGGGGACAGCCCACTTTGGGCCACCAGCTCCACGTCTCATCGGCGGTGCGATCCTATCAGGGATTTTGGTGAAGGTTGATAATGGCGAACAGTTAGCTCTGGCACCCTGCCACACGACTCGGGACTTCTCCCTTACTTTGAATGCCCCGTACCCTCTCGGTGCACGGGGCTCCCAGCGTAACGGTGCGTCACAAATGGCTGGCAAGGCGTCTCTCTCGTAATCCCACGTCTACGCGAGAGTGTTGAGCCTATCGTGGGCGCGATGCTTGACCACGAGAGTCCCGAAGACTCCGGTGTGCCCTGTTGCCTCGTAGTATTGGTCTCAGCTCTCGATGTGACACGGCAGGTGGGGAGGCTAGGTTAATCTCTGCTCTGGGTCGAAGGCCGTGTTCGAGACAGGCCTACCCGATGTGAACAAGTCAAGCACTGACCTTTTGGTCGCCGACTTTGCGGGGCAGTGTTCCTTCGATCATCCTCGGAATGGCGGTGTCCGGGGGAGGCTCCCCTCACCCCCCGACTCCGTGAGGCGGTCTCAGCCCCCGACTCCGTGAGGCGGTCGATGGTGGGAATGGAATCAGCCCAAATACACATCCTGAGCTACGGGAGATGGGAAATTACCGGGGTGACCATGGTCGGTCGCCGATGCTCAAGGGTGTCCGAGTTTAGCAGCCTGCGGCGGAGCATTCAGCCCCAACAGCTCGAAGGAGGGGAATCTCATCACATACAGAAGAGAGACACACAGATGGGTGGGCTCCCTGATGGAGGGGGTGTCAAGATGGAAAACGGTGAGGCTTGACGGCACGGGCCCTTCCGGTGCATCTCCTCACCCTACCCCTGACGCAGGAAGCTGGCGGCGAATGACCGAGCGAGGTATGAAGTGGCGGCAATGGGGAACATGACATGCTCATTGAGTGACCTTGACGCCCTGAACGACGCGATTCCTGTTGCAGCATGGGCAGTGACGATCTCTTGCGAGGCAACCGAGACTCTTGTCTCTTTCCCCCCCCCCGTCTTTCCCGTTACGCCGCGGGCCGCAACATGCTGACAAGGCAGTGTCGGTTGGCAACCTAGACTGGGAGTCGGTACGGAGCGCCCGACCTGCTTGGGTGACGACCTGATCCCTCCTGAAACGGCCGCCGGCAAGCGTCGTGATCGTTCGCCAGCTGTGTTGTCTTGCATAGGCAGATTCATGAGGCATCGACCAGAGCTCCATCAATCAAGTCTTTTTCGGGGCGAGTGAAACTGGGCCTGCGATATCCGACAGTCAGAATGGCATCCCATTCGATTGCCAACGTCTTGCACTGTGCCATCAACCCGACATTCAATGATGGAACAATTAGCAACCCCCAGATTGTACTGGAGTCCCTACTTTCCACCATCAAGGCTGTGGAAAACGGCAACGGAAGGGAACCGCCGGCAAGGCGCGAAGAGACTTACTCGAGCATTGGGGACCTCTTAGGAGGCAGGCATCTCGACTCAATCACGATTGTTTTTGCCGCAATTACGGACGGACGGGTCTCGAAATGTGTCTTCCGGACAAACGGATGTTGTACTTTGCTGCCAGACGTCGCGGCCTGCCACAGCTCACCGGGCCACTACATGGGAACACTCGGTCCGCTTTGGTTCGGCGAGCAGGACGGAGTACTCGTGAGCCGCGCATGCGATGCGTGGTCTGACACACAATTGATTACCGCTCCAGTCGAGTGCGCTTGGTTCCGCATCGGTCCGTATGTCTTGGGCCTATGCCATGAAGACGTCATCGAAGTCCGGGACAACAGAGGTGTTGCCTGCATCGCCACCCTCTCTCACCCGGGTGTCGCGGGTTTCTCTCCAACAAGAGCTGCCGGCACTTGGGTATCTTACTCGTCCGAGACGGTAAAGATATGGAAACTGCAGGGCGACCTCCCCTCAAGCCGGCTGTGGCTTTGGTCATCGTACCAGACTCCGCCAGGACTCATTAGGATCCTCTCTGTTCGCGTCATGGGTGACGTTTTGGTACTCGAACGCGGGTGGTTCAGTGAAGTCCATGAAGGCAAACAGGACAGGAAATTTGATACGTTTACGTTTCTCAACCTCGACGGGAGCAATGCAGACGACCGTATGGGTTTTGCTCGAGAAAAGCTACGCTCCCACAAGCACTGGGGGACCATGTCTCAAGCTCGCGGCAGCCGATGGTGTACCTTTTCGAACGGTACACACGCCATTGGGGTGGACAGCAGCTTTACTATATTCAATTCGTCTGGCTCCGAGCGAGGAAGCTTCCACATGACGACCATTTACGTCGACATCTATCTGGATAGATTCATCTTAGCTGTTACGGCAACAGACGTCGTCCTTGTTTCAGATACTGGGAAAAGATTAGCACGATGGGCTCGACAAGAACATGGGGCTTTGCTACATTGCGTAGTGCACATCACTGGTATGGTCATACTCCTGTCCGCCTCAGGACAGCTGGAAGTGATCAATTTCGGTTGTGCAACGACGGGAATTTTGAAGTAGGGAGCGCGGTGTCAACCTGATGTGCGGTGCGAAGAAATGTGAGCAGTCTCATGCACTCGAGCGAGACGCCGCTACTGGTTGAGGAGTGGCCTCCAGTCACAATAGTACGAACTGCCCGTTGAGTCAAGCCCAAGCGCTGTGCATCGTTGCTAGTCAGAACGTCAAGTCACCTCTGCACGACAACCGTGATGTCACACGGAGATGTATGCCGTCGGCATGTGAAGAAACTCTGAGGGGGTTCACTGAGGTCGGCGATCACTAGCATCAAGCTTGAGTCTCTATCTGCGAGACCCCGGGTACGGATGAGTGTCTGCTGCTTCTTATGCGAAAACGAGATCAACAAGGCTGTTTCGGCGATCGAAAGAGGAAAACCGAGCCCGTCGCTGACAACACAGAATGCACAATCCAGGCTTACCGACGACGTCGCAGCGGGCGTAAGCGTGATGTGGTCGTCCGCTCCGTCAGAAGGGTCTGAAGAGAAAATTGCTGTGTCAAATGGCCCGGAGACCAATCAATGGTCGAACTGCACAGCAAAAGACGTGTCTAGGCTCAGCGAGATCCGCCTTCTAGGCAAGGAATGTTAGAAGTGGCCAACTACCTCGATCATTAATGCCCATGCAGTTCAATGATGCTCTAGATACGGGTGATGGTGAAAGGTTCAAACGAACGAGTATGGCAATGATATACTGTGAAGAGAGCTAGGAGGGTAGGCGTCGCGAGCAGACCGTTTGGCGAGACGTTGTGATGTCGTTATCTCCAGAGTCAAGCGTCAAGTGTGAATCAGCAATAGTAGAGGAATACATTACCAAGCTCCGCAGGTCGCTAGCGTGCCGGTGTACTTTGGCAATTGGCAATGTGCTCCTGCTCAGGCTCGCGCGATGGACTGGGGTGGAGACCAGCCGTTTGTCACCGTATGCTACTGTACGGCTTGTCTCTTTTTCGTCACTCGTTCGAGTCAAATTGTACAGCGGTGACCCAACTTCAGCTACCTGAGGTTGAAAGCACGCTAACTTTCCGTAGCGTTCAGGCGTGTGAGAGCATTGTAGGTTGGTTGTCACATGAGTCACGCAAGACGCCGCGACGGCCATCCTCAACAGACCAGGGCTCGGTTCATCACACCTCAACAGATACCCCTGCAATGCAAATGGTTCGCCAGTCGCCTCACTGCTGCCTCGTGGTTGTTTGGCCACAGTCATCTCTGTGGCACGCTTCGTTTTTATCCCTCAGCCTCTATAAAACTGAGGCTTTCCATGGCAATACTGCTGTCGAAAACACAAAAGGTCAAGTTCCTCAGTCGCTCTTACAGTCAAGTTCTAGCACACCGAAAATATCCAGACTACCATAGTCTTGCCATGGAACGACTGACAAAGGGTTGGATTACTCATCTGCGCCAGGCGGCCCGCCAGGAGACCGTTGCCCGGAGCGGATGCCCCTTCTGCCAGGCTGAGATCCAGCCCGACCTCGACTCCTTCAAAGTCCACGTCCGCGAGGAGCATCCCACCCTGTCCGATGACGCCGACATCGAGGAGGCCTTTATGAATGTCATGATACAAAGTCCCCAGTAAGCGCCCACGCCCCCGACCTGCTGTGCCTTTTTCATGTCAAAGTGTTCCCGTGGTGTTGACTGGGCATGTGCAGATCACATCCTACCGCCCGGTCCCCAGAGGCCACCAGCCCCGGCAGACCGACCAGGAAGCGACTCGTCCCCGGTGCTCCGGTTTCCTTGGACCGCGCCGATGTCCTGGACCGGCTGGAGGATCCCGAGGACCAATCCCAGGGCTACCAGCGTCGCAGTAACAAGAAGCTTTGCTCTCCGCCAGCCTCGGTGGCCCAGGTCCGAGGCTCCTCCCCACCCACCTCAGGCCACAGCTGCGCGAGGCCCAGTGACTCGAGTGACCTCAACCGCAGCTTCGCATCCAAGCACCAGCGCCCAACCACTCGCCACCTTTACAACCCTGACGATGACGCACGGCGCTCGTCGCCGACCAGGACTCTGCGAGGGCCCCAACGAGATTACGACTCACCAGAGCCTACTTCGCCGACTGACATGATAAGACAGCCAGAGACAAGGCTCATCACGCCCGAGCAGATATTCGCCGAGGTTAAGGGCATCTACGCGGGCCTGGTCATGCTTGAGTCAAAGTGCATCGAGTATGACAGCACACAGGAAACGAAGGAACTCAGCCAAGAACAATATCAAGCTCTCATCGCCTTACATAGATCGGTGCTCCACGAGCACCACGATTTCCTCCTGGCGAGCCAGCATCCGTCTGCTAGCGATGCCGTGCATCGTCTCGCTTCGAGATACGCCATGCCCGCGAGATTGTGGCGCCACGGCATCCATCCCTTCTTGGAACTTCTTCGGCATAAGCTCCCGGAGTCGCTGGAGCATATGCTGAGCTTTATTTCGATCGCCTACAGTATGATGGCAGTGTTGTACGAGATAGTGCCGGCATTTGAAGACACGTGGATAGAATACCTCGGCGACCTTGGTAGGTATCGGATGGCTATCGAGGATAATGATATTCGAGATAGGGAGAGGTGGACAGGCGTTTCGAAATATTGGTACAGCAAAGCCTCTGACAAATCACCCACGACCGGCCGCCTCTACCACCACCTTGCGATCCTGGCACGGCCCAACGCGCTGCAGCAGTTGTACTTCTATGCCAAGTCGCTTTGCGTGCCTATCCCGTTCCCCAGCGCGCGCGAAAGCGTCATGACGCTTTTTGATCCTCTTTTGAGCGGCGGAAACCAACGGCTTGGCCCCATAGATGCCGCTTTTGTGCGCGTGCACGGCATCTTGTTCTCTGGCAAATCAAAGGAGCAGCTAGAAGGCTCAATGAACGAGTTCTTAAGCCTCCTTGACGACCGTATCGACAGAGAACACTCCAATTGGCTTGAAGCGGGGTGAGATGAGTCGCATCTGGTACACGTTCGCGCTGTGATGCACTAACAGGCTGTCAGGTACTATGTGGGCATCTCTCTTTGCTGCCTGTTATTGGGTTTCGGTGCAGAATCAAATGTCCTGATGAAGGCGCTCATGGAGCAGCAAAACGAAGCAGAAGCGGACTATGATTTTGTGGCCGAACACGAGTGGGAGTACGTCGACGAAAACTTCGAGCAAACGTTGCGTTTTGCTGCCCGGACGCAGGAGATTGTCCTGCGGAGATGGGGTGATAAGAACACCCTAAGCTACATTCACACCACGCTGGTCTTCATGTTGCGCATGTCGCGGCTCTCAGCCGCCATGTCGCACCTCGAGGACCTATTTCCGTGGAAGCTTACATCCGTCACGCTCAACTACCTAATGAAGACGATAAAGACGGAGCCGAGGATCGATGCGGATAAACTACCGGGCCCGGAGAAGGGCGAGGAGCCGATTCCCCTGCCAGAGGACTACGCGCTACGCGGGCTTCTTTTCGCCGAGGACTTTTTCCCTAATGGCTGGTTCGACAACGAGAGACTCGACGAGACGGACAGGTACCTGGAGACGGGCTCCAAGACCGTGGAGAGACAGGAGCGCATCCTCTGGGTCGGGCGCAGGATCGCCAACGCAGGCAAGTGGTTGACGTGGGACGCTGAGGCACGCCAGTTTGGCGTGACCTCGAAGTATGATGTTAAGCTATAGGGCTTGCCTGACGAGACGTGGGGCGCAGCCCGCCTCATCGCTGTCGACCCGGGACCCGCGCCGGTGGAAATGGAGGCCGACGACGGAAGAAGCGTCTGACAACGGTGATTCTCTTTCGTCATCGCCGGCGCCTCCGGCTCTTGTCTTTCTCACGGCGAGACGAGGGCTGGAGACAGCTACCCCGACGTAAGTATCGAAATGCCGGACCTGGCGGCGATTGCAGTCGGCCCAAGTATCAGCTGGGCCACTGCATGGACAATGCGATGCTTCACCAGAGTCCCTCTCAGCTCATGAGCGCCTTCTGCGGCGCGGTGACAGCGTCACGAGCAGGAGGGATCTACGTTCGTGGAGGCCATTAGAATACGGTTTAATGGCGAGAGAGCGGAAGACAGCAGCCTACAATCAAGAAAGCCACTGGCTGCTGTCTGCGACTGCGACTGGAGCTACGTCATCACTGCCATACGGCCCGGCTGTCACCGTCTCATATTGTCGTGTTTCCTCGGGCGCCGGTGAACCGTCTGCCGATGCTGCCAAGTATCAAGAATGACGAGTTAGAGAATTACTTTTGTCCAGCGTGTGTTCCTTTGAGGGAGAGAGGGGGACATCAACTGTGAGCAACGATGCCCGGGTGTGTCGTCCAGGCCGCGTCGGAGCTGAGCCGAGTTTTTGCTGGTAACTCGCTTTGCTTTTGGACACAAATTGCTTGGTGCTCGCAATGCAGCCGACAGGCTGAATGGTGGTTCTGTTCCCAGTTAGAGGCGTAGTCATTCACACCTGGCTTCAGACAACACAGGCGCAGCCTATGACATGTTGCGGGGTTGAGCCTTGAGGCCAATATCAGCGCTGTGTAGAATTAATTGTGTATTAGCGACGACTGAGGTAGGCGAAATGGCCCTGCTATAGGCTCAAGAAGTGGCGCATGATGGATACTGCCTCGCGTTAGTCTCCAAGAGGCTAGTCAGTGACCTGCCTCAATGAACTGTCTCCCAGGCACATGACGTTGATAGAAGCGACTGAACACGTGGTGTATTTATACGCCCTGACCGCATCAACTCGCCGTGAAATATATTTGCAAGCACTACACGAAGGTGATCAATCCCTGAAGTTTCTGACGTGAATCGAGCGACTCCCCCCCGGCTCCATGCTGCTAGCAACGCCCAAGCCGGCGTGACTCGATTGCAGCGTTCAGGCCGCCACTAGTCTGGCCAGGACTCTGGTAAGAATGTACGGCTCATCATCGATGGAAACCCGTTCGTCAGCGGAGACATGCATCATTCCGAAAAAAGGCCCGCTCCATCGAGGCCTGTACTGGATGCCTTGGTACGTCTTGTTTTCCTGGTTGATGACGTCTGCGGTGGTATGCCAGATAACTTCTTCCCTGGCTCGAGGCAGTGAGGGCTCGCCATTTGATGATACAGCAGCAGGAAAAACCAGCCCCGTCGGTCCACGGGGAGGGCATTCCGGAGCGGACCAAGCAGTGCGTCGGAACGGAGACCACCCTTCCGCTGTCGGGCTGTGTACCACGGTAGCCAGTGGAACATCGTTCGACGTTGGTGGCTTGGGATCCCACGAGTACAGCAGACAACGCGATCTGTGACTTCTGTGGCGCGTCTTACTGCCGACAGTACCTGTCCAGCCACAGGAGCATGCTGATTCTTGTTCTTGCGTGTACCGCCTTTCGACAACATGGTAGTGCGTACCACTTGGCCTCTTGGGGCATTGAAGTCGGCCAGTTTCATCTCGCGCGATAAAGCCTCGTTCGATGCCAAAGTCAACAAAAGCCGTCCCGTTCGGCCGTCCGGGTTCGCGCGAGAAAACGTCGTGGCATTTTGCGTCCATGGTATGCCCAAGCCAATGCTCCAACAGATCTGTGTACCATCTCCATCCAGAGAAGGATTCTTTGCAACCTTCGACAAAGCATGGTAAACTTGACGGCGCTTCGGCCCGAAGAACTTCGTACTTGGCCTTGCCGCCGTGTTGCTTACTCGTGTGCTCCATGAGTGTGTCGTGACGTGGCCAGTTTCGGCGAGCTGTACCTGTAGCACAGCTACCCTCGGCGCATCGGAAGATAAGATGGCGCAAATGTTTGGTGGACACGTGGCGCTTCCATTCGTTTGTGTTGCCACATGGCGTCTGGCAGCCTGCAAACTGAAGCGGGCAGGGAAACAGGGATCCTTGGTTTGGCAAGTCTGACGGCTTGTCCTCAATCATTTGGGCGGTCAATCTGGCACTGATCCGTGTGACTTTGTGAGCTGTTCACGGTGCCGACTCGATCTGTTGATGCAGCAGCATGGGTTATACTTTGACGCAGCTCGAATTGAGCTGGGGCATGTTGCGCAATTTAAAGCTAACTTGGACGGCAGAGGAGCTGTGGCTGTGTCCGATCCCTGCCATTCAGTACCACCATCAGCCACTCGACGAATGCTTTATGCCGAACACGTCACGTGTAGCCATGTCCAGAGAAGCAGATAAAAGTGCCTCATGGCGTTGGCTGCTCGGTCACATCCTTTCAATACTGCTGAGCAAAGTCTAGACTTAATATTGGAAATATCAAGTTCAGAATGCAGCCCTTCGTCTACACTTCGCGCTTCGAAAGCCCGAAGCGGAGGCTCGCAACGCACTAGTACAGTAGCTTGACACGAGCCGGGCGGCGCGATTCATCGTAGTTGGCATCGTCCGCCATGGCAACGGTACGTAGCCTCAGCGAATGACGCATCGGGGTTGTACAGCGCTGTCCTGGCCCGTGGCGTGAAGCAGCTGAGACCGAAGGTGCCGCTTGTGAACGCGGGGTGGATGGCGTTGAAACGTCCGGAGTGGTGTGATCAGGGGTACAGTACTGTAGGCTTGAGTCATTTTTGGTCATGACCGGGCAACAGAGTACAGTACTGTAGGTGCTGGGACGAGCAGACTTGGGTCATGTTGTCCAAGGACAAGAGGCAGGAAGGGGGCGAGCTTGACGGGTGCCTGGCTGGAAAGCTAACGAACGAGGGGCGTGAATGTAGAGACCGGCTCATGAACCAAGCCATTTTTCACCAGGGTCCGTCCCCTGTAGCACGACGTCGCCACTGCATCAATGGTGATTTGGGAGACGGGGGGGGGGGGCTAGAATCGGCCACACGCCCTGAGTGCAGGCATGTGTGGCTGCCTACAACACCGTCTTGGATCGCCATACAATGGACCCGGCAGGTAGAAGCGCAAAGGAGCTGCAGCACGGCTCAGAAGACTCCAGGCTCCAGCCAGTCACATCTCGCGAACAGCGCAGCACAGCGGACGCAGACATGCCATTCATTGGTCCGAAATTCCAGCCCAAGTCTAAACACTAAAGGCTAACCCTTGGTCTCACTACCTTCCGTGGTTCTGCTCGCTTGCCACTCGTTTGACATTGAGCAGTGTCAGGGGACTCGCTTCTTCCAGACCAGCCACCAGGACGACTCCTCCTATCTCAACCACACGCGGCCGCCTCGCCGGCATATGATCGCCGACCTTTCAAGACTATCTTTAGTCATAGACATCAGGCTCGCCAGGCCTCACAATGTCGCACACCACTCCGCTCACGACGGTGTGGCAGGGCTACATTGCGTCGACCCTTGACGCTCTGCTACTTTTCGAATGCGCCTTAAGCGGTCGTATCAGCCAAGTTTCTCGTCGCCCAAACGACAGAGAACGACAGGACCTCATCAAAAGTGGCAGTATCTTTATCTATCAGGAGAGCGCGACTGGGATCAAGCGCTGGACCGATGGCAAGTCTTGGAGCCCAAGCAGAATCCTGGGTAACTTTCTCATCTATCGGGAAATGGATAAGCCTTTTCCACCAGGCCAGAAGAAGCGTGCCATGAAACGATTGGCCTCGGGCTCGCTTGGCGGCTTGACCAACTCCAACGGCAGATTGCATTCGGACAACGGCGACTTTCCCTCCCATGCGTCAGAACAAGCGAGACACCTTCGTCTAATTATTGGCTCACTAGTAGACTCGTTTTCTTTTAAGGAGAATGGCCTTGTCAAGAAAACAATCAGTATTAAGTATCACAATGTCTCGCACCGCATTATTAGCTACTACAGTGTGGAGGACGTCACTCAAGGGAAGCTCCCTACGCCATCTCGGGACCAGGGATTTCGAGATCTTATTCCCCGTGCCGAGCTCACGACCTCTCAAAAGTTTCGAGCCTCCTCCGACAGGGTCGAGCGCAGTTCGAAAGAATTACTGGCTACAAATCTGGGCGAGTTTGTGGGCTATAGCAGCGTTTGTCCGGGAATCAATAGTTGTCCCTTGCAACTCATGTCCGCCACTTCTTACGATGCTCCTCACGGAGCACGCCCTGCCTTTTCCGACAGCCACGAGCCGCTTCATGATGGTCAATTGACCCAGGGCGTATCAGGAACCTCACCGACACTGCAGCCACTGTCGTCGTCAACGTTACTTCCGGTCCCAGCGTCCATGCATGTGCCAAGTTCAGCGGGTGTATTCTTCGCTCCGCAACTTCAGGGTAATTACGCACACATGCTTCACAATTTAGAAACTCGGGGCGGATCGGAACTAGGCTATCGAAGTGATCATTTTCCGGAAATATACCCACCACAATTGCAGTGTCTTGGGGTCAAGGTTGAGGGCGGCGTCTTGGTTGGCGGCAGTGGCAGTACGTATCCGTACAGGAATTATGATGCGGGCAATGGTTCGGCTGTTGATTCCACGGACGGTCTTAAGGAAGTGCAAGTTTGGCAGTGGTCAGCAATGACGTGATTAATTAGAGGAAATGTCTGCAAATAGTACTGTAGCAATTCACTCGGCAACGCGATTCATTGTGCGTTGGGTGACTGATGACACCCAACGGGGAGGAAACTTCCGCCACTTGGCATTGCAACGTTTGCAGTCGGGTCATGTTATCACGCAACTCAAGGTGGTCTCTTCCTTTCCTTCGCGGCAAGCATCAGTATCATGACCTGATACTGAACGCTGCACCGGTTTCCTGAATTCGCAACGCAGGTCTTTGCCCTTCATTTCCTCTGGCATGATGGACACCTTAGTAGGTACCTACCACAGAACGAGACGTTCATGGTCCTTAAGGAGGCCTTGAGGCTCTATGAGTCGTGGCATGATCGGTGATGAGACCCACCTAGACCGGTCACTGGTGCTCATCTTGGCAGGCAAAAGGTGACTGGGTCATGCAAGGATTTGCGCGCTACGGTGCTCCGCTCTCACCTGGGCCGCCGAGAGACTAGCCTGAGGGGACACCAGTCGAGACCCTTGAATACCTACCATGGCCATCGCTCAGACAAATGTCCATATATAATGCACCAATGCCCTCTATGCGAAAATGAGGACCGTACAGAGACCCCCACGCAACATCAGCCTTGTTTCGACACAACCCAACTCCGTTACAAGGGCAGCACAGTCTGCCATATCACGCACGCCGCCGCTGGCATGGAGACACCGACGGAGGGTTACCGGCAAGCTTGCAACACCATGTACCCGCCACACGAGCAAATGCCTTCAGTAACTCTGCCGTCTGCAGCGCGAGCCTTTCGGACTCCCTCCAGCCTAGTCCCGCCAAACGTGACGACTAGATCTGGCACTTTACGAGCTCCGGAGGCACCGATGAGTGCAGGCGATATGGACGACATTGACTGGCCAACACACTTTTCCTCGACGACTCTCGACAGACAACAGCCGAGGGCCGAGAAAACCAACGAGCTCTTGGCAGGGTGTATCGTGATGCCAGAGTCCTACGCCGATTCACGGAGTCAGGAGGAAAAAGGATCATGCACAGCAACTGAGGATCAGGATCACGACGATTCATCACTCGGCCTCGAGACGAGTTCTGCTACTGAAAGTCTTCAAGAAACAACAACAACTCGCCAGCTGCGACCCAGGTTACCGAATGGTATACCACCGCCAAGAGTAGGCATTACGAAGGAACCGCTACATGGACAGAGGAGGTCACAACGTAGGAATAAGAGGCTCCGGAGAGGCATGAAGAGAGTAACCAGACATCGTTAGACAATATAACACGCAGTACTACGGTACATTCGCAGTTGCACCATATTAGCTTTCAAGAACGTAGATGATTATTATTCAACGCCTCAATGCCCTCTGCAACATCTCACAAGAGTGTGCCGAGCCGAACGCACAAGTAAGACGCTTCCGTCGTTCATCACCCCGAGGATGTTTCGGCTCGGTGCCACTGGGAGTGCAGCTCAAGCCCAAGTTTCGACAATTGCCTTTCCAACTCTTCCAAGATCGTTCCGTCGGCTTTCTCGAAATCTAAGCCGGAGATTGTCTTGCAGATGAGCTCCTGACACGTGGTATCCGGGATATTGTGGTGCAATTCCAAGGAGCTTTCCAGAGCCCGCCGAATCCTACACACGTCGAAAACATTGATGCATTCACTGGAAAGCCCTTCGTTAAAAAGAATCTTACCTCACGTAGCATGGAGGTACCTACACTAGTGCGCAGTATTGTCTTTCGTGGCGAGAAAGACCCTGCAAGGCTCGAATAAATTCCACTTGACGCTTCAACTCCAAGCAAAGTTCGGCCAGACGGGACTGAAAAGCTTTCAAATCGCCGCCGGACTCAAATTGGCCTTTTAATTTCACGAAATGGTGTACCATCGCAAAAGGCGGGGCCAGGTCGAGGCATTGCTGGAGCCTGTGCAGACTCGCAGGGGGGACGTTGCCAGCTTTTGCAGAGGCGAGGACTCCATGGATAAACTCTGACTGAGCTGCCACACCCATTTGAATATGGGAATAGTCTCTGTCGGGGTCGACGTTCGATGTTGCTAAAGGGGAATCGGATTGATGCTGTACCGGCCACGTACCCCGGGTGGTCATGGCGGGGGCGCGAGTACAAGTAGCTCGTGCCGCTTGATCCTCGGAGGTAAGAATTGACCACCGCCTGATTTGCTCGAACCACTTTCCTTCTAATGCAGAAGAGGCAACATTGTAAGTCAGGCCCTGTCAGCCATATTACCGGCCGAGCCTAGCAGCTGGCTAGAAGTCTTGAGTGAGTCGGCAAACTACATCTGAATCACGGAAATTTTACACATACGGACGGGAGTGCGGATAATGGGCACCAAAAGAGAGGCAAAGTGCTTATGCGGAATACTTGTTGCAGAATAGGCCCGTCACAGAGGTAGTATATTTTGCCACGGATTGTCGTGTTTGACACGTCTTACTACCTACATACCCATATCTTCAACGCGCTGCGGCTAGGCGTATAATATGTTGACAAGCTAGTAACCTTTCCCGACGCTCGGAGTCGTCACAGGACTCCAGCTCGTTCTGGACCCCACTTTCCGCTGTGAAGCCGTAGATGTCCTCTTCGGGATCGGATGCGAATCCAGCTTCTAGCAGCATCTTAAGAACGACCAGATTGCCCCTCATTGCTACAAGAGTGACAAGAGGGCTTCCATTCACTTTTGCCCCAACATCTATCCCATGTCCATGGTCCTTGACCCCACCGAGCACGTTCTCGACTGTCGTCTCATCATCGCCGCTAATCGCGTGTGAGACAGGTCCTTCGCCTAGATCATCTTCCAACCAGGGGTCTGTGCCCGGTGTGCCCAGAAGCAACTTGATCATGCCTTGGTGTTCCCAATGTATGGCGTAGGTAAGAGGCGTTCGACCACGACAATCCACGGGGTTGAGCTTGAGCTTGTCTTGAGCCGGTGCCCTGATGATGTAGTCATGCGCTGTTGCGTAAGTCCATTCGCCGAAGTCTTTGTCGTCCGCATCGTGGAAAGCAGTGTAATCCGTTTGACTACCCTGAAAAAGCGTTCGATGCATCAAGCAGGGTGTCAAGGGGAAGTCTGAAGAAACAGGGTCGGCAAATTGCTGAGATTGACCTGGATTCTCATCCAGACACCGTAGCAGGTGTCTTGCGATATCGATACGGTTATGGCGTGCCGCCGAATGAAGCGGAGAAGCTCCATGGGCCGTCGGATTTGCAAAGTCGACCTGAGCACCATTGTGTATCCAGTGACGGACTAGACCGAGATGACCGCTTCTGACTGCTTCGAACAGGGAACTGTTCAGACAATCCACGCAGGATCCATGATTCCCGCCGGAATTGAGGTGATTGACTGACATTGAGCGCGATAATGGTATTGTACAGTACTGCAATTTGCCGGTGCATGAATGGAAACAAGGGAAGCCCCAGATCTGCCTTGGTCAAGGGCACACCGCCCATTTATAGGCCGTTGGCACGTCGCTTTGTATGTACAGCTATGTGATTCGTAAGCGAAACGACCAATCGAGATCCAGCGTGGCGTTATGCAGGCAAAGGGGCGGCAGAAATGCCACAGCCGGTTCATCCACTTCCACAGTCATTGGCTGACGATGTGTCGACGAGTGCCAGGTCAGTCTCTCCTCCACTGGCAACAGATAAGCATCGTGTCTGCAGAGACTCGACACAATGTCTCCTTTGCGTGAAAAAGGGCACCGCGAGTCTCGAACAAACCGCATCTGGCAACGTGCGTCGCGGCAACTATTGGAAGGGCGTGGTGGAAAGCGCTGTGGGCTTACCGGTGCTCTGCTCCATGGGGGCCTGCGTGGGACTGGGCTCGTGTTGGCCCCTTTGAGCCTTCTCAAGGCTATGCAGGTCTCTCACCCCACATGCACATGAGGGACCTGAGACGTTTCGATCGGCATTTCCGTTCGGAGGTGGTGTCTTCGGTCGCATCGATGGCTTGACGCGTAGTGGTTATGGCTTCTTCCAAGTCTCGTATGGCTCCGGTACGTTCGTAGAGCCGGGTAAGCAGTCTCCCCAATTGCCCCAAAACTAACGCGGCATTGGTCCTGTCGCCCGCCATGGCCGTTATTGCTTGCCTTGAAGCGTTTATGGCGCCCTGCAAATCGTCTATTACTGCCGTTCTATCGTATCGCTTCGAGAGAGCTCTTTCGAGGTCGTTGAAGAAACTTTCGCGGCGACGATGGCCATGGCTGGCAGCATTGATTGCCTGTTGGGCTAGACTTATCGAGTCCTCCAGGTCCCTCAAATCTGCAGTTCGATCGTACCGCCGCATAATTCTGTGCCCCAAATTACTGAGCCGGTCCGCGCGGTAAGTGTCCGTGTTGGAAGTTGCTGCAATTGCTTGACGGCCCACGTCAATTGCTTCGTCCAGAATGCTCATAGCCCTGGTACGCTCGTACGATAGCATAAGGCAGTCTCCAAGGACTACTAGCTGCTTCGGCCAGCTGCGGCAACCAGCTGATGTGGCAGCTGTCGCTTGTCGTGCAAGGCCAATCGCTTCTTCCAGGTCTCCCTGCTTTCTGATCCGTTCATACCGTCTCGCAAGCTTGTTTGCGATAGAAGACACATAAATGTTGTGGCGTGGATAGTCGTCAGGCGTGATGGCGACAGCTTGTCGATCCAATGTAATGGCTTCGTCCAAATCGCCAAGTACTTTCGTGCATTCGTATCGAAGCACAAGAGCATGGCTGAGGTTGCGCAGGCCTACCGCAACTGCTGGCCCAGGTGGAGTTGCAGCCACGGCCGTGCGAGCTTTCTCGATCGCTTCTTCGAGAAACGCAAAGTCTTTGGTCTGTTCGTATTTCAGAACGAGATTCTTTGCAAGATTGCCCAAGAAGTCCGCATAGTTGGGATGGTCATATTGCGCGTTGGTGACAACCTGCCGTGCCGCCGCAATACCTTCTTCGAGGCTATCAAGGTTGCCAGTAGCTTTATACCAAGAACCAAGCTTGCTCCCGAGGTTGTTTAGCCATTGCGAGTGATCCGTATGACTCTCTAACGACGCTGCGACAGCCCTTCTAGTCACGGATATGGACTGTTCCAAATCGTGCACGGATCCTGTGGTCTCGAAACGCCGAAAAAGCATATTGCCGAGGTTGTTGAGTCGTGCGGCGCGATTGGGATGAGTATCGGCTGTACTTGTGACCGCACGCTGAGCCATATCAACTGCCTCTTCTAAATCACTGACGGCTCCAGCGCACTCAAAGCGACGACTTAGCATAACGCACAAGATGCTTGATCTCACTGCATAATGATCGCCGTCTCCGTCGCTCAGCTTTACAACAGTTTGTGCGCTCGCAACAGCCAGGTCAATGTCTTCCCTATTGCCAGTCAATTGGTATCTTTTGTAAGCCTCGGTTGCAATTGTCGTCAAACTGTCAATCACGTTATGTTGGCCTGACTGCAAGAGCATCTCGTCCGCCGGTTGCTCAGGCCCACTGCTATTTTGAACGCGGGCCATTTTCCAGATGTTCAAGTGCCTCCGAGGATTCTGGCCTAGCTGTCACCAGATAATGGGAGGAGATTGTGAATGTAGATCGAGATGGTGGTCGTCGCTGTCTTGCCGTAACGTTACTGCGGACCGGAGAGACTGCCCTACATAGCCTTCCAACGGCAATTAAGTGAATGGATGAACTTGCGGCGCGCAGGTGCGTCCACAATAGGCTTACTGCATCCGATCGGTTGCGGTCAATCCAGAGCAGAGCTCAAAACCTTGGGGAAGCCCCACATCCATATGGCACCTTTGAAGAGCAAATACGATACATAGCAAATGGCCAGTTCAAAGATCAACTTCCGATGTACTGTACTGTGCTGTACTGTATCGAAGTGTATGTATGTATGCTGCCGATACGGTACTGTACGATATGAAGGGGTTCACGGTCCAGGCCGTCAACCCGACGAGCGAAATGATGATTAGGGGCGTCGAGCGCAGAGGTTGGTGTGAAGGACACGGTATGGGTGGATTGTTGGGAGTAGTGGATGGTGGCGTGTAGCGGGATGGTGGGTAGCGAGGTGGTGGGTAGCATGGTTCTGATCGTTGGCAGGAACGCGCTCTGGCAGGCGACTGCCGCAAGAGCAGTCAATGGCGCTATGCCATCCAGTCGCCAATCCTAATCTTTGGCAGGTCTTGAGAACACCACAGTCACGACATGTACCGAGCCACAGACCCCGATCAGCCTTAATTCTTCACGGTGACGATGCTCTCAGAACCTTCATCGGACACCGAACCCAGCTCAAGCTCGGTGGGATGGATCCTTGCGGCACACCTGTAGCAACTTCTGCACCAAGCTGCAACTGTACTGTACAGTAGCCAACCCGGATATAATGCCCTCGGAGTCTGGCAAAGTGGGTTGGCACCTTTGGCTGGATCGTGTCTTGAGAGTGTCTTCGTCAACTCGGCGGGCATTTGCGGCCACCCAGCACTCTCTATCTGACTCCTTACTGTACTTGTCTCTCCTTGTTCAGACTGTCGAGGTGTCACATTGAAGTTATGGACCAAATGACTCAAGCTCATCACAGCCAACGTGCGTCCAGCAGTCCCCGAGGCCGAGTTGGTGGAATGCCTCATTATCCCCTCCCCAAACCTGCCACTCCTATACAAGCGGTGTTGCCGGCCCACACACTTGATGTATCCATCGCGAGTTCGTCAGCGTAGGTCTCAGCGCGGTGTATGTTGATGTCAAACACGCCCAGGGTCGCTTGTCGGTCTGGTCGTCAGGCGCTTTGCATGTCTGCTGTCGTATAGACGGTCCAACATTGTTCTTGAAACGAGGCTGGGTGATAGAAGGTAATCTGCGGGTATAGTGACCGTGGTTCCAATTCAGAGGTGCCCCTGCCCGTATTTACTCTGCTGGATCAGCCAGCCAGCGATCCCGGCTCCCGTGCGAATAGCTCTCGGCGACGGCCCGCAGAAGGGCATCGGTGATGTCGTCTGAGATTGGCTGGAAAGTGCATTCTTGCCCTCGGCAATAGCATCTCTGACACTTTCCTTGCGTCGTATTTTGGAAACTGCTGCATCGAACCTGCAGCGACATTCGCATTCTAGCTCGAAGCCCAGTACACGAGACCCACCTTCCGCTGTCTGCAAGATATGCATGCCATGATCGTTCGTGAATAGGTTGATTCGCCGGCCGGAGACGCATATGCTACACTAGATCAGCTATATCCATGTCTTGTCTATTGTCGTTGCAGGCGCTTTCCAGCAATCCGGCTTTTACAGAAGAACGTGAGATGATATTGAGACTCGGGACGTGCCTTCTTTGATCTAGGCTGACAGGACCTGATGACTTGCTTCCTTATGAGGATAGTGGCCCGGTGTCCTCCATGCCCAGCAAGCTGGCGAGACGTTGGTCGCCGTGAAGCGTGCGTTCAATTTCGATAGCAAAGTGCAGCACCGGCCGCGGCTCACGTAGTCCCTTCAACAGACGAGACAGTGTCTGATGCAATACAGTAGCACAGCAGGGGCTTTGTCTTCGTGCGGCTGAGGCCTCGTCAGAACTTGCCACGGCGTTGGGCGCGTCGCAGCGCATTTGCTTGCCGTTGTCTGGCAGCCAGAAGAGGCGCCTAGCTGACCCACACACCATCTCGCTTCGCTTCACACCAACTCGCTTCGCTTCACACCATCTCGCTTCGCTTCACACCATCTCGTTTCGCTTCACACCATCGATTGCTCCACACCATCTCCTTTCGCTTCACACCATCTCAATTGCTCCACACCATCTTGCTGCCCACCATCACGCATCCCGCCCCCTCCGTTGCGCACCACCTTACTTGGCTTCACACCACGTCACTTCGCTTCACACCCATTTGGCCTTACCAGCATGCAGGAATGTATTGAGCGCTAATTCTCACCGCTGACGGTCAGAACCACAACGCTTCTTGTCTTCAGAGGCCAGAACCTACCCCTGCTAAGTTGCGAAGACGTACGGCCGCGGAAGGGTCTATGAGCGACACCCCGCGTCGATGGCCTGCTTTTGCGTCCGAGAGCCGGTACGTTTGTCGTTGCGCCATTACTGTACCGTCAAGGCAGCAACCGCCTAGAAACGAAACAACGATAACGCCACGCTGAGCGCTGTTGTGGAACTCTCATATCTCTCCAGGTGGATGACCTGGCGAGCATCTACAAGTTGCTGTTCACATCGCCTCACAACTCCCCCAAGTCCAGCGCACGACATAGATTTGGTCGCCAGTTGGCCTGCCAAGTCGAGCTCTGTGACTCTGTCCAACTCACGCTCGGCAGCCTATCTCAGGTGAGCGGTCTCCGCCACAATCGGCCCTGGGCTGCATGCGGCGAGACACAGTCTTACAGTACATCGCCAGCGCCGCTGCCATCTTCGTGTTCGTCCACTGATAGCCGCGGCTCCCGATATCGACTGCGAGTACCCCGCGTTGACGGGTTCCTCATTGCGACGCAGAAAAGCCAGCACAAGCAAACAGTGGAACGACAACGCTCTCACGAAATGGAGCCACCCGAGGCGATTGGAAACTCCTTCGTTTCCTCCCCTGGCACGCCGTCAAGTGACCAGCCGCCGCAAACCCCTGCGTCGCAAAGGACCAACACGCCTGATCATGTGACCGGCAAGCGCTCGACACCACCGGCCGAGCCGCCGAAGACAGTGACGACGTGGTCGCCGCCCAGGGCTCTCCCGAATCCTAGAGACCATACGACAGGCCAGTTGGATCAGACG